GCATCCTGTTATATGAAGTTGGTCCATCAGACACCATCTCTGCAAGCGCCTTGCACTTTATGTACCATAGAAAATACTAATTGCAACCACAGTAAGCTACTTCTGGGGGATGGGCTGCATTTTGTATTTTACACTGTACTAGTAAGCTGAAAACAACTGAAGAAAATTGATTCAAAGATACAACTGAATGAGAAGCACAAAATAATGGATGCTTTAATACAGACTGGCAAGAAACTACTAAAATAAAACAAACAAACAAAAAACCAAAGGCCTCAGTGTCTGTTAGATTCCAAATTCAGATTTACTCCACTTAAACTCCCTGTTGCAAACAGAGATTGCTAAAATGAAGCTCCCTTCAAGCAATCTTATGCAAGCTGATAGACTAATCCACCCCTGCATTGATCGGCGACTGCACAATCTCATTTAAAGCACCCCAAAGTGCTGAGAATTCTTGCTGGTTGTACATCTCAAGAGGAGGAAAAATTGCAAGTATGCTGCAATCAAACTAAATGTGAAATTTACTACCCAAAAGCATATGTGTCCTTGAAGATGTGGCACCATGCAATACCCCCAGTGAAAGTGAACACAAATGCTTGCATCCCACCTACTTCAAGGACATGATGCAATATACTATGATTTCAGTGCCCTCCTGTTTATCACAACAGCACACATCCTTTTCAGATGCAAATTACACCCAAATCACTTCAGTAATTGCAATGTAAAAAGCATCTAAGTCACTCCTAAATTAGCTAGCTCAAGTCCACACTCCCATACAGTTCAGCAGAGTCTACAAATTCCACTGCTGTGGTTCATCTAAACTTGAACTTCAAAATGCCAGAACTGGACTACTATAAATACCAATATATGCTACATACATTATAAATACTAATATACTTTACTACTGCTGCTGTTATACTATAATACTCCAATAAAGACAGTTCCTTTAATTGAGCTAATACATGTCCATGCCAGTTTGCTGTTATACTGGTGAACTCATAATCTGAAACTATTTTCCTATCTGTGACAGAGATATTTTCTTTTACGAAATTATAAACTAAATCACAATGAAATTAAGTGACTTCCCACATTCATATAACAAATGAGACATAACAAATTGGACATATCAACCTTGACTTTCAAACCATTAGTTACCACTTGCTCAACACACACCCCAATAGCCCAGTAGGTCTATAGTAAACAGTCTGAGGAGCTTTAAACTACCCTGTGAACCTTTCACCACTGATACCAAGTTCTATAAGCATAGTAAAAAAAGATTAAATATTGTCCCTTTCCACTGGGATATGTTTTTAGTGTGGAACTGAAGACTCCTACAGAAATAGAGAACTAATTTCTCTTCACTGCCTCATGGTCTCCAGCACACCCATGTAGGCAAAGGACAGTACCTGTGCCTTACTCTGCTGCTGCTAAGTCTAGGAAGAGATAGCTGTTTCCAGCATGACAATGCAGAGCTCCCAGAACGTCAAAGTGTCAGAACCTTATTGCTTACTTAAATTTTAATCTGCTTTTCTTTCTTCTCTCCACATTCTTTGCCACTAGCTACAGAGATGTTAAAAAATAGTATGAGATATGATGCAACACAAGTGGATAGCAGCAGTCTCTCGACTCCACAATCTTTCTAGAGCTTGACAACCAACGAGTAAAACACAAATTAGCTCCTCTTTCTTGCTCCTCTTCATAGATAGAGCACAACAACAGAAATTAGTTCATTCCTCAGTCACCACAATATGCTATTATTCCATCTGAAATCAAGGAAACGTCTTTTCATGGTAAAATTCATATAGATTAAGAAAACATCGTGGATTCACTAACATTAATATCATTCTTTATAAAATTTAAAAGCCACTATATCATTAAAGGAAAATTGTGATCCAACAATTTAGAACCCTCCACGATATGTCTATTACTATCGTCCAAAAACACTCCAAGGTGATACCCAACACCACCTACAGGCACCCAGGTGTTTCTGAATGTGCTTGGCCAGCACAGCTCTGGTCAGCTTGTCTCTGATATGCTGACAGAGATGCAAATGTTTAGGGTTAAAAGTACTACTACACCTTCAGTAATAACGCTGGCCCATGATCTCTCGTTTACATTTTGTTTCACGTGGCAGAGTGCTGTCTTACACCACACTGGTGACAGCAGCTCAAAGTATGACATCAAGAAATCAACGTAATTTTCTTATTGTACCCAGGTTTTCTTTTTAATTTTAATACTGTGGTATGAATTGACACAGATAATAATGCAGCCATGAAGAAGTTGATAAGAGTCCCATAAGGAACCAGGAGCATTTCAGTTCCAACAACTAGGTGCAATATTTGTCCCCTGGAACAGTCCAGTACTGCTTAGTGAAGTGGACCTGTTTGTTTCTACAGTCTCCCCCCTAGAGCGTCCACGTGTGCTTGCAGAAATGCAACTGAAGCTTCAGGTGATAAGCACAAACAATACAACAACCCATCATAAGGGCAAAACTAACATTGGGCAAGGGAAGAGCAGCTTGCTCTTGTTCTGCTGCCACTTTACAACTGCTGTGTTTGATTTAGATATCACAGGTATACCTGGCCAAAGCCTCAAGGTTAGCTATCCTCGTTCTTGAAAAGCTGAGGACTCATTACAAAGGAGAGAAAAAAAGTAACCACCCCACAACAACGCTGTATTCCTGTTAGAATCTTGCAGAGCTATGGCACTGCAAGATTCCGAAGTTTTACCACAGAGTAACAGCATCCTAACGTACATGCTAAAATGACACACCAGCTATTTTCTCTTCCTGCTACTCCACATACATCAGCTTCTTCTCTTTCCCCGCCATCTGTTAGTTTGCTGCAGTCTGCTGGGACAGGGCTGCCCTCTCCTTTTCTCCCCTTTTTGGCTGCTCGAAGGGACAACAACAGAGCCTAGCATTTCCAGTCCATAAACTCAGCCTTCCTCCAGCTGCCTCAGAAACATTAACAAAAGAAGAGTTACTCCCATAAATTAAAAGTGCTCTGCTCACCTCTGCCATACCAGTGTGCTCCACCAGAATTCCATGCTAGACACTGAAACCACCTTGGAAGTGGTTAGCAAGGAGGTAACTGCTGCTTCAAGAGGACATACCTTTTCCTCTTATCCTCAAGTATCATTGATTAAAACAGATATCTGCATCATGGGAACTGTCAGAGAGAAACTAAGGCAAGCGGCCTTGACAACGATTATAAGCAGCTTCTTATTGCGTCTTTACTTAGAAGGGACGGGTAGTAAGAAAAAAAAATCAGTAAGGTAGGTGAACAGTAATCTTCAAACATCTATTACTATAAACCTCAGTATAAGATGTGTAGCAAACAACTAGTTCTCCTTCTAACAGAGTTCAGAATGGGAAAAGGAAGGGCTATCTAAACTCCACTACACTTGTAGCCAGTTAGAAAGGAAACTGGAATGTTGGTCATCAATTGTTCTATCAGCCGGGTCATTAGAAAAAGGAACAGCTCATCTAAAAATAAAGTCAATACTGGCTGAGTCTAAACAGTTTCTTCAGCATTTCACACGCATATTCAAGCAATGAACGCTATTATTCCGTGCTTGTAACCACATGCCCCCAAGTCAATAACTGTTCTCAAACATCCAACCTCTTTTTAAAGCAGATTTACAAGGAAATATAGTGCAAGTGTTCCAAATCAGCTGGTGAGAAAGTATTATGGATCATAACATAGTAAATAATTGCTAGTTCTTGCAATCTGCAAAATTAGAATAAATCTGGCATTAAAAAAAGAAATTTATTATATCAAATATACACAACCTTCCACTTCAAAATAAACCCCATTGGACTTGGAGAATATTTAGGATGATATTAAATGTCTTAAATCCCCAAAGCTTTGAACTACAGTTAACCTCTTTCACTATGTTCTTCAGCAAGCAATTACAAAAATCACTATACCTTTACAAAGCGCTTTTCACACTCACAGCTCACAAACACACAAACACAAATGAAACGCAGCTTTCTTTGGGATGGGAAACCACCAGTATCTATCGTAACACACCGACACAAAGGTTAGTTTTACAGTATGACTTTATTTAGCAAAGATAGATTTTCCTGCTTTCCAATCTTTACACACTGGCAGTCAGCAAATAAAAAACAATCAAGAGCAATTATGCCTATCTTTAATTTCAGGGAAGCATTCAAAAGCGTCATGCTGCTCTGTAGCACGCAGACTATAACTGGAATGCTGTTCTGGCAAGTCCCTTGCAGGTCAGCTGAAGGAAGCCCCGACTTACCTAGGCCGTCCCAGCAAGGGCTCCGATCGGCAGCGAGGGCAGCGCCGATGCAAACGGGACGCCAAGCTCCGAGTCACAGGCGCAGTCAGCTCCTTGGAGAGGCAGCCCTGTCTGCTATTATGTCTGCAGCGTATAAGGGCAGCGTACCGGTATCTATACAAAAATCTGCATCTTCTTCAGAGGAAAACACTTGAAGCTTCTTACTGGCACCGCAACCTACTCCTCTATTTATGCCATCACAGCTAGTGACTAAGAAGATGCTTTTAGTGTCACAGGAGATGAAGGCTCTGGAAGCAGAGTGCCTGGCAGCTTTACTCTCACACACCGATCTGTCTTCATGCAAACGCACTTTGTCAGCGGATGGAAGTGTATTATTGCCATACGCTACCGAAGCGAAACAGTTTCCAAGTTTTCCCACAGGGCACCAGCTCCCCCTTCAAGCTGTACCCCAGTGCTTGTTCCTTCTCGTCCTTCTCCGAAGCCTCCCCCCGAAAACACACACACACACACACACACACCCCGCCTTGCACCTGTCCGCTACTCCCGACTGGGAGCGACCTCCCACCCCGGCGCCGCCCGCGCAGCCGCTCCCGCCGGGGCTCGGGGCTCCGTTCTCCGCGGCGGGACCAGCACCGGTATCCCGCTGCCAGGGCAGAGCCGACCGGCAACCGCTCGCCACACAAATGCGGATAAGCAGGAAAACAGCGGCAAGGAGAGCAGCCCACTCCCATTACCTTAGCAACCGCGGCGCCGCCGCCGACCCCGGCCGCCCCTTCGCCTCTCCTCAGGGACGGGGAAGCGCCCTTAGCATGGCGTGAGCCTGCGGGCGGGGCCGGCGGTCAGCCCGGGCTCCTTTCCGCGCCTCTTCCAAAAACCTCCCGTTCTCCTCAGCGCCTCTCAGGCTGCGGCGGGGACGGCGGCCGGGGCGACGCCGCTGCCACCAGAGCACCGCGGGCACACCGCGCCCGCCCCGCCCGGCCCCGCGCTGCCGCCGCCCGACCCTCGGCCGGGCGGGCGGGGGCGGTGACGGGGCGGCCCCGGCCCCACCGCAGCAGCGCCCGCTGCGGGCGGCCCGGCCGCGCCTCCCCCGCCCGGCACCGCCGCCGCTTCCCCCCGGTTCCGAGCCGGCCGCCCTTTGCTGGTGACAGGGAGGAAGCTTCAGCCCCTGCGTCCCGCCACCCCGGCTGCTTCTGGGGCACTCGGCGCAGCCCCGGAGGCAGGGCCTTGTATCTGTGTTGCACTCTTGCTTATGTGTTGCACAGCGCAATTAAAGCGTTCTGCAAAATTCTTTCTCCTGAAACCAGGAAAGCCTCATGTCTGAATGACAGTCCTCCAACAGCCAGGATTTCCTAGCTAATGTTTGTGCTTACACGATATTTAGGGCTCCACACACCACCATCAGTCCTAACAAGCACCACATCTCGACAAAATGGTTTGGAGACCCAGCTCTTTTACACAGAACTGTCTCATGGGCAAAAGCCATTGCTGTTGGCCAGGAGGAGTGTCCGCGCATTAATTAGGTGTGTGAAGTAGCTTGCATACTTCCTATGGATATTATCCACCAATTTCTCTGTTGGATGAGATTTTTACTCCATTTCTTTTCCTCCAGAAGGCAAGTTAAGCCCACTGTGCCCAAAATTGACTGTCAGGTCTGAAAGCCATATGCTGGAAAGCAGTAGGGCAGACCCTGACAGGAGGCACCCGTGCCTATCTCTGTGCTAAAGTTTGTGCATTTCCAAGGTTTGGTTTCCACACATCGGACTCACTATCACAGTTGAAACTCTGCACAGAGTTGTGAAGGCTGTCAGCTGCGCAGAGGAAAGGCTACTTTATTAACCTGCGTAGCTTGTCTTAAAGGCCCTTCTGTGGTGACCCTGTTCCCCCCTTTCCTAACATCTTATCAAAATTAGGCTTAAATTTCACAAGCCTGATGATTGACACCAAAAGCTGTCATGTGCAGGGATATCCTGTTATTTTATGGTTATAGTCTGCCCAGGACACTTTCTGGTGATGTCTGGTACACTAAACTGCTGCAATAATTCAAATGTTAAATTAAGAAGAAAAAATTATTTCTGCTGCAACTCTACATCACTTCCATTTCTACTGGATCAATATCACCATCTCTACCATTACTGGCTACTCTTTCCTTAGTCTTGCAAAAGCCAGGTTCCAACCTGTACAGTTTGTACATGCTTCTTCTAAAATGTACTTCATCATCACAGACTATAGATTTATTTACCTGTCACACTCAAAATTGCATCTTAGTGGCAAAATTTTGCTGTGCCTCACACAAGCTCATTGACCCTTACCAGACTTCACAAGGTGTTGATTCAATTGATTTGGTTCAAATATCAGCTGTGGGCATTTAAAAACTTCTGTGGCAGGTTAAAACATTCTGACCTTGGTGGACCCTGATTTTTTTGTTCAAAGAGATTGCACCTTTCAAACATCACAGGATACTTTTGGGATACTTTTAAATCTAAAAAGTAGTTCCATTTATATCAAGTTTGAATTTAAACTACTTGTTGTTCCCTTAAGATTAACCTGAGCATGTTATACATTATTTGCCACACAAGGTTGTCTGGCAAAGGAGGAAAGAGAGAATGGCTACCTATGAAATAAAGATTTCTTTTTTTACAGAAATTTTCTCAACAAAACATTTTAAATCAATAGTTATATTGAATTATGCTGGGGTATGACTACTTGTAATACCAAGGATTAAATATTTCAGTGTCTTATATCAGGTTTGTTCAGGAAAAACTGTTTCATGACTGCTCTACACAATCTTTTTCTCACAGCTCCCTCAAGGGAGTGTACATGCATTACACAGTGCTTAAATATATCAGGTTAACTCAAACTAAAATGCATGTTCTATAGAAATGCCATTTTCAAAATACGAGATGATAGAAAATATTTCACATATATATTAACATTGCAATTCAAAGAAACTACTAATATGTTTCCTGACAGTAATTCCAAGCTGAGTATTACTGTCTTACAGCAGCACATGATGCTGAAAAAAGAAGCTGATCAGAAACATTAAAGCAAAAGTGACCACTGGGCTTATTTTAATCGTGCTCAACAGAAGAAATTGTAACCAACAATTACAAACAAAAGGAAAGGAAAATGATAAATAAAACCAGTTTCAATGGCATTTCAGGTTTGGATAATATTTCATGTCTTATTTCCACATTTTATACTATAATTAAATAAATCTTTGCCTAGTGGCTTCTCTTAAGTAGCAACTATTCTTTGGTCCATGGAAGTAATAAAAGGTGTGAAGAAAAATGGCTTAGCAACATTTTTTAATTTCATGCATTAACTACTAAAATAAATGATACGTAATTATAACCAGATAAAACCAAGCTAGGTTTGTATTTGCATGGATCTTTATGCTGAAAACAACGTAGTCAGACTTTGTTCATCACAGAGATTGTTTCTCAGTTTAACCTCTTTCCCAGTGGGAGAGTCCAGCGGTTTGACGAGCATGATTAGAGATGCAGGAACCATTCCGTTTAGATCAGTTGGACATCTCGAGTTGATATAGAACTATGCACATACAACAAAGCTTGCAGAAGAAGGCCTTCCATCTGAAACACTGTTACGCTTAATAAACACTGGGGAAGAATGCATGGGGAGAGACCGGCACACATTTTTCTGGCCAGGAGGGCAGACTTTTATTGTTCCCTCTCTGCTGTATTTTATGATGAGATCTAAAACCCAGAAGAGATCACCACAGTCCATAGCAGGTATAGAACATCACCTATCCCTAATGATACTGAAACTGAAGAACTTGAGCTAAAATTTTCATTTTTACTAACATTTATTATTGAAAATATTTTCTTTATCATAAATTGCAAGTACAGAAACACACCTTTTGTAAAGTTATCTTGTCGTGTACTGAAGACTGCAGCAGTAGAAAACTCCCCCCATGCCAAGAAATACTCTCTTAAAGTTGTATTATCCTCATTGCTGTAAAGAGGTCATTTTATCAGCTTTGAAATGTACAACTTTCAACCCCTGCATATCGTGGCTCTGACTCTAGAGTTACAAACGCTCACAGGGCTTGAGCTAATTCTTACTCACAGCTCAGCACTGGGAGTCTCCAGGGTATTTCAACAGCTTCTTCACATGGGGAAAAGAGTCATATCACAGCATGTTCCCCTGTGATCATCTGGAAAAAAAGAGTAGATATAGCTAACTTTCTGCCAATAGCATCCTCCTCTCCTGGTGCTTGAAAAGCTTGGAAAAGCGGAAGCTGGTGCAGCTGCAGTCAGTGGTTGCCGTGCTCTGAGGTAGGGCCAGTGTTTTCTTTTTAGTTTGCAAACCAACAGCGTTGTTGATCCAATGAGTAAGTGTTACCCCGTGACACTTCATAAATATTCAGCAGTTGTTAATTACAAGAAAAAACGGAGCTGGCTTGGGGGGTGGGTGTCCAGTCGTCAGGGAACTGGTGCTTTTTCCCATGAAGGTGTGTCTCTCTCAGGCTGAGAGCATGAAAAAAAAGCAAAGAGGTTTTCAGAGTTGTTCAAGGTAGGTTATATTTTTCATAAAATGTTTAATTTAACAGTGACCTAGTTTTACAACAGCTTTCAGTGTCTTGGCTTTTCTTATCTCCTGTGTCTTAGCCTACATCATTAGAACAGCAGAGCAATAGGCATTACAGACTTTGTTAAAGCAAATTAAATAAGACCTTAGCTGGGGGATTAATTCTTCTCTCCTATTTTGTTTCAGGCAGTCATTATGTTACAGTTTCTTTGCAGTTTTAAAGAGGTTTTAGCACATCTTTTATTGCACCTATTATAGGTTTGGGGGTTTTTTTTAATGTCAGCTCAAAGCCCTTTCCTTATTTCATGGTACATTTTTGAGTATCAACCTGTAGCAGCAGTCTTGAATTCGTCAGCCTTTTTACAGAAGGATCCTTTGTTTTGTAAACATTCAATAACTCTTTGGAACTGATGGTTAGCTTTACTAGCCAATTTGGAAGTGTACAGGCAGTACAGACTCATGCCAGCTTTCAGCAGGAGTAAGTTGTGGGGTGCTGTTAATTTTACTTACCTTACATCACCTACCAGAAGAAAAAAGTTATTCTGCATTTTGTCATTGTGACCAATAAATGGCAGGTAAAGTGATGTTTGCTGTCTCTTTTGCCATGTGTTACATACGGTGCTCTAAGATATTGTTTGATGGTACCCCTCTGTGATTCCTTGCTTGTCTTTATGGAAGTATGCTTTAAAAACTCCTTGTACTCTATTGTGTGTGCTGTGTTCCATAAGGATTCAGCAGAAAAAGGGATCAATTAGACAAATGATTTCAACCATGCAACACCGAAACACATCAGATCTGCAGAAAAAGGGCTCTTCCTTCCACCTCCATCTCAGAGATTCTCGGGAAGTTTTGTCCTTTGAGAGTCAAGTATAAGGAGCCTTGCTGTGCTGAGTCCTTCATGTGTACCCTTTAAGGAAGGAAACAGCATAGGAGATGATGCCACATACGCCAGGTTTATATGAGTGTGAGTGCTTTCCCTATAGGGAGAATTGTCCTGTGGGGATCTCAGCCCACATAGGTTTCCATTGATCCACATTAACGTGTGTTGCAGAAATTGAACATGTCATACTGAAAAATGCAGGTAAATGTACACTGACAGTGTCTGAGCCATGACTTAAGCAGCAGCAAGCCAAAACCTATACGTCTACACCTACAAGGATCATGCAAGCTAAAAGAACAAAGATGACTCAATAGGAACCATTCAGAGCCAGTGTGTGCTGGCCTTGTTGACCTTCACTTAATTCCTCCCTTTGTGCAAAGGGATTTCAGCTGTCTTTGCAAACGTTAAATTTGTGCCTGCTCTAACACTTCTTAAATTTTGCGTGACTTCTAACAAACTTCCCAGTGACTTGTTATG